AAGAACATATCTAGACCAAAGCCCAAGACCATGCAGACTCCTTGGCAGATGATCAGCCCAACCAATGTGCTGTGGGAGCCACAGCAACCCCACAAACAGAAATCAGAAACTATGCCCAGGGACCCAGCGTGGTAGTCTTACATGTGCCAGGATCCCATATGGGCGCCAGTTCGTGTCCTGGCAACCCCCGCTTCCCATCCAGCTCCCTGCTTGTGGCCTGGGAAAGCAGCTGAGGACGGCCCAGAGCCTTGGGACCCTGCACCCACGTGGGAGACCCGGAAGAGGCTCCAGGATCCAGGCTTCGGATGGGCGCAGTTCTGACCTTTGCGGCCACTTGGGGAGTGAATCATCAGACAGAAGATCTTCCTTTCTGTCTCTCTACCTCTCTGTATATCTGACTTTCCAATAAAAATAAAATAAAACTTTTTTAAAAATAAAAAAGAAACTATGCACAAAGTCATGAAGATTCAACATGCTGAGATCATGTGGTGATCTGTCTAGTGTCTGGGATGAAAAAATGTATTTTAAAACCCCTAAATTATTACAAAATCAGATAGTTCATACAATGCAAAAAAAAAATCCACTATTATCCCAGGGACAGTGGGTAGAGACCCTAAGATAACACATTAAGGGCCCAGTACAGTAGCCTAGTAGCTAAAATCCTTGCCTTGCATTCACCAGGATCCCAAATGGGCACCAATCCATAACCTGGCTGCTTCACTTCCCTTCCAGTTCCCTGCTTATGACCTACTAAGGCAGTGGAGGATGGCCCAAGTCCCTGCATCCCCATGGGAGACCTGGAAGAAGCTCCTGGCTCCTGGCTTCGGATTTGCTTGGCTGCAGCCATTGTGGCCATTTGGGGAGTAACCAGCAGATGGAAGATCTTTCTCTGTGTCTCTTTTTCCTTCTGTAAATCTGATCTGCCTTTCAAATAAAAATAAATCTTAAAGAAAAAAAAATGCAGTAACATAGATCCTAGCAGCTATGATGGACAGAGGGCTTACCCAAGATCCTTTCCATCAGTGAGTCCGCTGCAGACAGCCAGAGGAAATGCCAGACATTTTCACTGGGATCCCAAATTCCCATGAACCAGATGCTAAATATGCCATTTGGGGTGTTCAGAGTCAAAACTCTGGAAGAACGGGACTTTAACATAGAAACAACACAGACAACAGGCTCCTATGCCATCAGTACCTGGGATGACTTCAGTTCATCAGCCATGGACGAAAGGCCCGAAGAGAGCACTGCAGGTGTGCAGGGCTCGGGCATTAGCACCTGAAAGTCCCTACCTCCAAAGTCCCTGTGGTCCCGCCCCTAAGGAGAGCAAGGACAGTGCTGGAAATGGGATTGCTGGCAGCTCTGAAGGGAGGGAGGACTCCCAGTCCCCTCCTGTCCTCCTCTGAGGGCCTGGGCATGCAGGTAGTTCCCACAACCCCAACGACATCACACTCCTGTAGTCACAGGTGAGCCTGATGTCACAGGCAATATATGTAAAGCTGCTCTGAATTCCCACAGGGGACCCCACCATCCAAGAGCTGTCATTACGGAAGCGGACAGTAAGTTTCTCCCGCAGCTCTGTATCAGGTGCTTCTGGCACCCCCTTCTGCAGCTCAGTTATAGGGCATTTCTAGTCATCCCTGGCACACCCAAAAGGCAACTGTGCTTCCCAGGCCCACCCAGGGGGTAACTTGGCCTTGTAAACCATTCCCAGATGACACGCATTCTCCGTTTTTTAAATCTTCCTTGGGAGTCTGCCATTAGCAGGAAAGCCTCGGGTCAGTCTTTCTACCTTAATAGCAAAAGGAGACAATCTTAGTACATGCCCTGAAGTTGGTTTGCAAAGCTTGTCTATTTTTTTAAAGATTTATTTTTGTTGCAAAGTCAGATATACAGAGAAGAGCAGAGATGGAGAGGAAGATCTTCCGCCCGATGATTCACTCCCCAAGTGAGCGCAACGGCCAACGCTATGCCGATCCGAAGCAGGATCCAGGAACTTCTTCCGAGTATCCCACACAGGTGCAGGGTCCCAAAGCTTTGGGCTGTCCTCGACTGCTTTCCCAGGCCACAAGCAGGGAACTGGATGGGAAGCAGAGCTGCCGGGATTAGAACCGGCGCCCATATGGGATCCCGGTGTGTTCAAAGTGAGGACTTTAGCTGCTAGGCCACAGCGCCGGGCCCATAAAGCTTGTCTATTGCCTCAGGCAACTTAGACTAGGCCGCTGGCCAGACCTTAGAGCAAGATTCTTTAGATTCCCTGGCCCAAGTGGTCCAGGACAACTGACTATTCCTAGATTACCTACTGGCACACCTGGCAGAGTATGCACAAGGATGCCATCAACAGCAGTCAGCCTGTGGATAAGACAGTTAAAGGATTTAGGATCACGCTAAGTGCTCCATGATTTAGTAAGGCATGTCCCTTGTCCCTCAGCTTGCAATACTTGCGAAGCAGAAAAAAGTACTTGTCCTTCTCTCATATGTTTCCTTTTTTTTTTTTTCCCCAGAGACACACAGTCTTCCATCCACTGATTCACTCCCCAGATGACCACAATGGCCAACGCTGGGCCAGGCTGAAGCCAGGAACCAGGAGCCTCATCCAGGTCTCTCATGCAAGTGATGGGGCCCAAACACACTTGGGCCATCCTCTGCTGCTTTCCCAGGCCGTTAGGCACTGGATTGGAAGTGGAGCAGCCAGCACATGAACCAGTAGCCACATGAGATGCTGGTACCACAAGTGGCCCCCACAGGTTTTTGTTTCTTTTTTAAAGATTCATTTATTTTAAAAGATTCATTTTTATTGGAAAGTCAAATATACAGAGAGCAGGAGAGAAAGATCTTCCATCCTCTGGTTCACTCCCCCAAGTGGCTGCAACAGCTACAGATGAGCCAATCCGGAGCCAGGAGCCATTTAACATCTTGATCAGCTATCTGGGATTTTCTGGCTAGGTAAAGATGATGCCCTGACACAGAATGAAGTTACAGAAAATGGACTTTCCTCCCAAGAGCTCCCATAATGATTAAGGGACTAAGATCTCTGAGGGAAAAGATGCAAGCCGTGAGGTACCAGAAGGGTCACCAGCCCCTCTTGGTCTTTCGTGTGGTTAGGCTAGAACTGTGTGCCTCGAGGTCCTGAAACAGCACCTTCCTCAAAGCAATGTGCAGGCCACATGTTCTAAGTGGTGGAGCTACGAGTTGGAACAGCTGATTGAGATCTCCAAGGGACAATGTGTAAGCAAAAATCAATTTCTGTTATGCTCACGCTGAGATCTGGAGGCTTGCTGTTGTACCTTATGCTAGCCTGTTGAGGTAAACATGGTTATTATTATAATAATTAACGCTGGCAGCTCTCTCCTCAAAGAGCAGGACAGGCAGTGGCCGACTCACCACTTGGGAGGTGCACATCCCACACTGGAGTGCCTAGGAGTGAGCCCTGGCTCTGCTTCTGGTTCAGCTTCCTGCTAATGCACACTCGGGGAGGCAGCAGATGATGATGGCTTCGTGTGAGACCCCAGACGTTTCCTGCTTCTGCCCTGGCCCAGTCTCTTTCCCAGTCAGTGGGGACATTTAGGGAGTAAACAGCGGAGAGTCACTCACTCTGTTTTGTCTCTCAAATATATTTATTTTTAAAGCTTATTGTTTATTTAAAAGGCAGAGTGATAGAAAAGAGATCTTCCATCCACTGGTTCATTGTGGCTGCATGTTCCCATACAATGGTAGGCATTTACTGAAAACTGGCTCAAGGAGCCCAGTGCCTTTCTTAAATCAACCCATCTCGAGCTGAGAATGCTAATGAATGAGGGGGGAGTATTTCATCCGGGATGCCCAGCACCGAAGGAGCAGTGGTGTGAGGACCTTTACCCCTCTTCCCAGATCGGTACCCAAGTTTGAGAAATCGGCTGGGACTTAGAAATTGGTGTCTAAACTGGAGCCACGTGTGAGTTGTCGTCACTTTGTCCTGTGTCATAGCCCATGGGCCTGAACCCTGCTTACTCCATCTCTTGAACTCCTTCACTTGGGGGCCCTGTCCTCTTTACCTGCTGCTCAGGCTTCACTGTGGGCTTTTATTTTCTCTCACCTGAGCACCTGGTGTTACAGGGGCACTTCCTTCACTATCTAGCCTTCTAAATGCAGTTTTCATCATGAGTGTCCCCTACCCAGGTAAATCTCCCACTCTGAAGAGTGCAAGGACTCACTCACCAGGCCCCTGCCTGTTTCTCCAGTGCAAATGCCCGCTACTCCCCCCACAATATCGCATGTGAACCTGGAGTTCTTTGAACAAGACCACTTGTTTTTACTCCTACATAGATTTGTGCACGGATGTTCTCTCTGCTTTAAATGATTTCCCTACTCCCAGAGAATGCCTGCTCAGCCCTCAACAGCCTCTTCAGGGGTCCTTCATCTTGTGAAGTTCTACCTGACTCCCTGGCTTTCAGAAAGAGAGGGGTGAGAGCAGCCCATCACCACACGACACTGCTGATCTTCCTGTGGATGTCTCCTGCGGGACACTGGCAACAGTAATGAGAGGGCTGCGGTTCCTGGCAGAACCAAGTACTAGTGATCAAACATGTAATAAAAGGTGATGAGTCTGGGGTGGGCATTTGGCACAGCAGTTAAAACATCATTTGGAATGCTGGCATCCCATCCTTGAGTGCCTAGGTTCATTCCCAATTCCAGCTTCTTGCTAATGAGCACCCTTGGAAGTAGATGATGATGGTTAAAGTCCCTGGGTCCCTGCAACACACACGGAAGACCCAGACTCAGTTCCTGGCACCTGGTTTTGGTCCAGTCCAGCCCTAGCTGTTGTGGGCACTTGGGGAGTGATCCAGAAAATGGGAAAGCTCTGTTTGTCTACACTTGAAATGAATGCATCTTTGTAAAAAGGTGAAGAGGCAGGCTGTCAGACGGGTGTTGGGGGCTGAGGTGGAATCTACTCCCTCAGCCAGTGTCTGGAACATACTCAGAGTAGTAAAATGAAAAAGAAATGAATCCATTACAAGAAGAAATTCAATCTATACATGTTTAAGTTTTATTACAAAGTATGACGGGCAGAAAATACGGTACTTCTTATACGGAGGCTGAAACAGAACGAGAGGGTGCAAGTTAGGTCTCACTGTACTTGGGAAACAAGAAGTCAAGTCATAGCTACTAGAACACTCCACTTCCAGGTGCCTTTGAAGCAGCTTTCAATGGAGATTTCCATCGTGGTTTCACAGCACAGTGTTAAAATGTGTTACAAGCCCTGTGCACGGTCCTGTGAAAATAAAGTTTATAAAAGGAAAATGACTACAGTTCAGTTCTGCAAATGGACGCTTCCTCTTCACCTGACCACAGGATGCCACAAAGCCTCTAGCACAGAGGAAAAGTGTAAATACACAGGAAAGTAAGTTCAGACACACTAGGCTAAAGGGCACAGAGATGAACTTGCTGGAGTTCAACATTACCGACAGCAGGAAATCTGCATTTTCTACAGAGCTTTATACAGTCATGCTACGAATGCACACTCAAGAGTGGGGAGGGGACTTCACCGACGGGGTGGGGGAGGTCATAAAGTACACAGAAACCAAAGCAGATGATTCATACCCAACTAAAGCAATTCACAGCTTCAGCTCAACAATTTCCGTAACACACTGCGTGCCACCATCAACCCAAGGTAGGGACATCACAAGTTCACATTCCCCAGGTTGTTCTAAAAGTGGGTGCTTGTGAGTTACATACTGTCAACATCTTTATTTGTGGCTTCCAACTTTTTCACTCAGTTGTTTCTAGTTTAATATCCTAACCCAAGCTTCTCTGGGAAGGCACTACATATTTCCACGTTTTAAAAGCAATATCCAGAAAGAAACTAGAGAGGAACTGCCTGTCCCATGTGGCCACATGTTTGACTTTGACCATTAGCAGCAATGACAACTGTGGGAGGAGGAGCAGGCAGGCGCGTGAGGCAGGCTGGACTCTATAACATGAGGATCTTAGCTGCCGTCCTGCCAGGGCAGGAGAGACCACTGTTAGACAGCCTGGCCCAGGGCTTTTGCTCAGGGATTTTGCTCAGCTCTTTCCCCGTCTATCCTAAGTGCCAATGTGACCTCTTCCTTGGTCTCGGAGTGCAGACCAAAAGACAAAAGAATATTTGCAGGCTTCTACTTCAGTGGCCTCTCCTATCCAAGACAGCTGGAGAGGACGCACTTCTGTGCTGCCCTCCTACACCAGCTGAGCCCTTCATATTCTTACAGTCCAGAATTCAGGCCCGGGCTGCAACAAGAAGACAGGGCTGTGGTCAAAAAGACGGATGAAGGAGAGAAACTAGGGGGAGCCTACGTGATTTTTTTTTACCATTTCTGCTTCTGCTATGTACAAACCAGCAACCAAGAAGCACACTCTAGAACAGTTACAAGGCTCCCAGTGTCTACAGGTTCTGACCACTAAATACCACCTACCGCCCCTGGTGCCAAGAGATGACCCCTTCCCCAAGCTGCCATCGTGTCTGCACAGTTAGCCAGCATCACAAATGCCTAGCTAATGGCCCCTGACTCAGGTGGGGGCATGGTTTCACCCAGAGCCACCCAACAGTCTAAAGACTTTCTCACCGTAGACCTTCACTGCCTTCTAAAGACGCCTCCTCTGATCTAAGCAAACACCACTGATTTTCTCCCAGGTCCTAAATCTGAACATTTCCAGTCACAATAATTACCAAAATCTTGGAGGATTCATTTTAAATTTTTTTGTTCTTCCTGAATCTCAGCCAACTCTCTGAAAGCTGATCCTGGGACTGCAAAGGAATTCTTGCCGTGTAGATTCGTTCCTCCCTGGCCAGAGTTCTGACTTTCCACAGGCAGGAACTGAGGGTCTCCTACCAAAGCAGTCAGCAACCCAGATCTGCCCCCGTGGTGGTAAGGAGCCCACAGCCATGACCGAACACTGCTAGAGGCAGAGTAGAGTCCTGACCTAGAACCTCTCACCTGCCCCCTACTGATGACACAATGCAGGAGCCTCAAGCAGATGCCAGCAGCAAGGTCCAATGTCAGAGGTCAGAGCCCCATGTCAAGGTAGAAGACAGAACAGCCTGAGTAAAACAACAAACCTCATCTTTTGGACAAACCCCCATGTAGAAAGCAGAGCTGTGACCTTTGGCATACAAATACAACTGCTTTGGAAAAGATGCAACCAAAAGGAGCTAAGGGCTCAGAAGAACAAAGTTAACTCTTTCATCATTCAGACAGGCATGAGGCCAAGCGGACAAAACCACGGGCCTATGACCTGCTTGTCCCTTTATTTCACATGTGCCTCTTGAAGGGTCTTACAAACCTTCAGGCAGCTGGCAGAACACCAGGAGCCATGTCAGCTCTACCCCAGAGCACATCACAAACTCCGCCTGCTCCAAGGACTCGCCTAACATTACACACAAGCCTCCTCCATCAAATTCCTTCATGTAACGGAAACAGACCCTCCAGGTCCTAAAGTCAACACAGACAAACACAGCCTACATACAACTCCAATACTGACCAGAACCTAAACCTCAGGGGTGGGTTGGCAGATCAGGGAACAGTGCTGAACTGGCCAACATTAACGTCTATGAGTCTGTAGCTATTTTCCTACTGGCTGGGCTCATCACAATGGATTCTCTCTTAGGACAGCTGCTGGGTTCCCACACCTAAGACTTTCCTCAGGGTTGGGAGCACAGACTGTGTTCCTCAAGTAGCCCCTCACCTCTGAGCACTCAATCCAAAAGGGGGCCAGCGGACTAGCAGGCACAGGGCACTCACCACAAAGATGCCCACATGCAGCTCCATGACCCTATCAGTCAAGACATCAGTGCTTACATTTGGTAGGAAACAGACTCTGAAACCATGTACTGAAAACATGTTGTGTAAGTCCAGCTTTTCTGAAACCATTTCCCTCAACTCTGACATCCTGCCTAGCCAGCCTGCCTTGGCTCTGCTTCACTCTCAATAGGCACGGGCTTGGGGGACACAGAAGCACTTCAGGAGTGATGGGGGGGCTTCCTGGAGCCCAGAATGGTTTTTTTTGAAGGGCCAGCTGAGGACAGGGGTGATGAGAGGGAGGACTGCAGAGCACCAAGGTGGCGTGGCCCCCGATCAGGGAGACGCCACTCAGGCAGTGAGTCAAGAAGGCAAACCAGGGCTTAGTACCAGCTCCAGGCTCTGAGGGAAGAGTGGAAGGTGCAAAGATGGAGGACCAGGGAACAGAGAAAGGAAGCAGAAGAGTCAAATTCTGTTCATAAACAAATTAGCCTGAAAGATAAAAAATATACAAAGTTGAAATTGTGAAAGACACTGATTCCAGGAGGAAAGATGACTTCAAATTTGTATTTGATCCCACGTAAGTGCTGACATGGACATGAACCAGACAGACTGCTGCCTTGGGCAGCAAACAGACATCTGGGGCAGATGAGTACCACACAGCCAGTGCTTATACTGCTCATTAACATGACAGCTGACAAACAAATATAGAGAAATTTTTAATTGAGGAAGGAAAGAAGAGAGAAAACCTTAAAACTCAGCCCTGGGCTGAGAGGGTGCCACACAGCACTGAGTCCAGCACAGACAGCAACAGGGTGACTGGCCAGGAACTCCTAGAGCAGCTTCTGGTAACAGTGGGTGCAAAGCAACAAGACATACTGGCCACCGGAAACAGGTTTCTTCTTACGTTGGGAGTGGGGCAGAGGCGGGAAGCACAGGCCTGCCTCGTGGTGCGGCACCACCAGCACTACACTCGTAGTATCTCCAGGCAGTTGTTGTAGCAGATGGCAATCCAGTCAGGTTGAGTCGACGCCCACTGCACATTGTTGATCTCTCCTTCGGCTGTGTAGGCCAGGATTGGGTCCTCGATGGCGCGGGGCATTTGCTGGATGTCCCAGATGAGAGCCTGATGGTCATCCGCTGGGGACAAACACAGTCAGCAAGCAAAGTCACAGTTTGACTCAAGTGATGGGAACAAGAACCCTCTGCATGTGGGGAGCAAGTCCCAGTTCACAAAGCATTTACTGGCCCCAATTCTATGTGGACTTTAAGCCCCCATTTCACAGATGAGGAAACTGAGATTTAGCAATGCTTGGACTGTCACCCCAAGTCACAGTTACACGGCCTATGAGCAGTAGAGCTGGCCTCCCATCTAGGTCTCAATCAGACCCCAGATGTTCCTAAGTGTTGCTGACTGCCCCAATTAGGATGGCAGAAGGCAGAAGGGGGTCCAAATGGGTTCCTCACATTTGGGTCAGGCATCAAGAGAGGAGAATGAAATCAGAACAACCCAAATCATGAACAACAGATGACAACGTTCTTTCTTCCTTTTTCTACCCCATTATCTACAAAAAAGAGGGCAACCAGGAAGAAGGCAAAAACCAGGAAAAGCTCCCTGCCTGTCCAACAAATGGTGATGTGCTAGAAAACCTACCAAACCCATGACTTTTGTGGCTTACAATGAGCAAGGTTCATTATACAGCTACTGACTCGTGATGCAAAGGAAAAGTGTGTTAGGAGGCAACTGAGAACTGCAGCTCAAGCAGGACTCCATAGAACAGAGCAACGACCACGCCTATCTGGGGTGGGGGGGACATAGGGGGAGATATATGGAAGGAGATACAGCCTGCTGCCAGAGGTCACCTTCCTCCTTAATACCTCTCTATATTGTTTCCATTCTTAATAACAGGCTTCCGTTATCACTAGACTAAAGACATACTGCTGACCAGTCATTTTTCCAGGGCTGTTCTTTCCTGGTCTAGCAAATGGTGAAATGAAAACGACGGACCACATCCCTCTTTGTGGGCAAGGCCAGGAGGGGTCCTCCAGTGCAGGCAGAGCTTGCAGCAGGCTCCTGCTGGTGAGACCTCGGGGGTCCCAGGGAGTGGCCTGTGTTGGCTGTCCTGGAGACTGTGTTACATCCCAGAGAGACATTTCCTCTCTCATGTTCCTGAAGCTGAGGATTTCACAGGGCATAGAACACGCAGGCTGATCACGGACACGATACGCGTCATATGTGGACGAAGTGCTGACAGCCAGGGAAGGCAGGGGATCCTCTGGAAATGTGAACTGCTTCAACTTCACCAGTGTGAGGAGGTTCCGAACTCAATTACTTCATGTAAGAATCTCAAACTGACCTTGAAAAATGGTAAGGTCTGTAATTCTAAGGAGCCAGTAGCAGCAGATTTTCTCCTGCCCCCTCTCCAACCCTAACCACTTTCTCCCTCCCCACCATACCTACCTGCAGTGCAGATGTGGCAGGATGAATGTGGGGCCCAAGCAATGCCATTGACACATGCTCGGTGGTTGTTTAACCTGGCAACGGGTGTGCAAGGAACCCGCACGTCCAGAATCACCACCTGCAGAAATACACTTTGTAAGGCCCAGGAACTTCAGGTATGACAGAAGAAATAGGTAAGCAAAAAACACTACACAACGAAAACCATTTCTTAAGTATCACGTTTTCATTTGTGTGCTTAACAGAACGTCAGATACAAGCTTTCCTAAGGCTTGAGGAAAAGGAAAAGAAAGAACACAGCTAGTGATTGAATGGAAAGGGGGAATGGGAAGGAAGCAAGCGTTTGGATGACCCACCAAGTCTTCGCAGGAGCCAAGAGTGAGTTTCGTGTGTCCTGCCTGGACAGAAGGAGAGCCCTGGCAAAGCAGGATTTGGAAGGACGAAGTCTAAGGCAGCAGCTTCACCAACCCAATGCCTACTACTGTGTCACCTCCACCCCCAGCTCATCACCTTCACTAAGTAACAGGATACGCAGAGAGCTGCCATTCCCATGTGTGCCTGTGGAAGCTGGAAAACTATCCAGGCTATACAAGGGGCAATTGTTTTTCACTCAGCAACAAATGCATAAATAATTTTGTTTACCCTTTGGGATCAGCACTGTTTTTCTTGGTCCCAACTCTCCAAGTAGGAAAAGTTCTTAATGCACAGTCCTCGTTCTAGATCGGGCTTTCTCAACCTTGGCCGGCATTGTGAACGTTTCAGGTAGGATAAGAATACTTTGTTGGGAGGCTGTCCCGCGTCCTGCAGGACGTTTAGCGGCATCCCTGGTCTCCACTCCTAAGCTGCTGGCAGCACTACCTATGTGGACATTTCCACATACCCTCTGGGGGCAAAGCTGCCACCAGCTGTGAACCACTCCAAATGCTTGTCAGAGCTGGAGTTTGGTGTCCCTGTGGGTGGGTGCTCACCTCCATTCCATCCATGGCCATGGTGGCCAGGTAGTTAGGGTCCTGCTTGTTCCAGCAGAGGCGCAACAGTGGGTGGTGCTGTGGGTCTTCGTAAATGATGGTGCTGTGTTCCAGGTGGCGCAGGTCAAACATCCGCACAGAGCCATCAGCGCCCACAGACGCAAACATGTCCCTGCCACCCCCAGCCCGGCTAAACGCGATGTCATAGACCTGTTGAGGGAAGAAGCAGCTTCTGTCAGGTACAGATCTGCTACCTCCTTTTCTTAAAGCAGGGCAATCTGCCAACTCCAGTTCATCTAACCCTGGTCCCGAGACCAGGAGCCAAAACAACTTTGAACTAGAGACAGCTCAGGTATTTCTATGTTCATAAAGGAGTTTAGGATCACTCTCTGCTTCTTCCCTTGGATGATTTATTCTTATATATGAATCAATTCAGGTATGAAGTCATTTATTACTTGCTACAAACACTGTTTATCACAAATGTCTTAGAGGAAGCAGGCTCAGAGCAATGGAGAGCTCACAGCAATGGGTGGGCTGAGACACACAAAGCTGGGATACCCACTAGGAAAGAGACAGGAAGTAAACCCTAAACGCCAGACAAAACCCACCCTCCAGGGTTAGGGACAATAAGGACAGCTGACTTCCGAGGAGATAGGAGAGGGGAGGAATTTGTCTCTGACTACTGTAACCCCAGGCTCCTGCCGGCTGGCTGAGCAAGACTGCCCCACAAGCATCTCCGCACAGCCCCCTTCAGCCTGGAAATGCCTTTCTCTCTGGGTGACTCTGCAGAGGTGAGAGATGTCAAAAGGGACCTGGGCAATCACCACATGGAGGGTCACAGGCTGGCACACCTGTCACGCTCAGAGCCTGTCTGGTGCTGTAGAGCTCCAGGTTGACCTACATGCCCTCTGCGCTGGGCCAGCCTCAAGTCTCTCAGGGACATAGACGCCACTCTGGTTCCTGGCCATTGCGGCCACTTGAGGCATGAACCAGCAGATGGAAGATCTTCCTCTCTGTCTTTCCTTCTCTCTGTAGGTCTGACCTTCCAATAGAAGTAAGTCTTAAAAAAAAAAAAAAAAAGTAAGACAGATCCATCACTGGCCCCTATTCTGCCTTTCTCTGTATCCTAAGAGAATGGATTCCCACAGGCTGCCTTTGGCTGCTTTCAGATACAGAGGTCCTGAGGGAGCAGGCAAGGGAGAGGTAGAAGAAGATGAAGTGTTTTGCCTGCTTTCTGTTTCCTGAAGCATTTCTGCCAGAGAAACCCAAACCCCCAGATCTAGTGACCCCGTCTCCTGCTGCGCCCAGCCTCTAAAGTACCTCACTGCTGCCTGTGTGGCTTCTCTGCTCTACCAATCAACATCTGGATAAACAAACCCCTGGAATAAATCCCCACTGTTGAAATCTACTTAGACTAGTTTCCCTTTTGTGAGCTGGAACTCAAAGAACAGCACACTCAGCTGTCACACAACTAATATGTACCAACTTGTTCCACTTTATGCCAAGAACTTCCAGAAGCTTCTCATTGGTCCTCTTTGTAGAACCAACAACTCTGAAACAGAGAAAGAAACTCTATCTACAGGGAGAGAGCCTGAGGGCCAGGGCACCGCACTGCCCCAGGAAGAACATTTATGATCACTTTCCAAAACTAATACGGAAGAATGCTTTGATTAAAATGAAAGGGCGAGATATTAATCACAGTGAAATATATTTAATCCCAAATAACAATAAAAGTACAAAGGTTAAGAGAGCATATTTAGAATTTCAGGATACATTTCGAGAGAAAATTAGATTTGATTACTGGGAAATTTTCCCTCTTCTTGTCAACCTACTCCCTCCTACCTCACCAGCCAAAAAAAACCACTAATGTCTCCAAATATTTGTTACTCTATGATTATTTCTAATCATTTTCAGTTCTCAATTTATCTATAGGTAGATTTATTATTTTAAAAAAAAGGAGTAATCTTTGTAATGAAAAAAAAAAAAAAAAACCCACCATAAGTCACCTACATAAAAAGTGCAATGGTCTACAGCAAGTTGTTTTCTGTCGTTCTGACACATTCCTGTTGTTAATTTAGGTAAGAAGCTGCAGCATGTACTCTGCCTCACAAGGGAGACCCAGACAACAACAGGGGCGAAGAAGAAAAGCATTGTTACCTCTTTGTCATGGGCAATCAGTTGGGTCTTCACATGACCAGACACAAGATTCACTCGTCCCAGCACCTGCCCTGTCTCCAGCCCCCAGATGGTGCAAGTTGTATCAATGCTTGAGGTACCTGCAAATGACCAGTGTGCATTAGTGGCTGTTAGGGAAGAGGTTCCCGGGCAAACCTCCTCCTGCGCCTGCTCATCTGCTCAGTCCAGCAGACAATAGGTATCCAACCCTGACCTGAGAACCTCGGGTTTTAACTGGAGAGGCAAGAGATACATAACGAAAAGCCCAACTCCGTTACAGGACCACCTGTCATACTTACCTGTCTCCATCCATTCTTAATCTAGGCTGATGCAAGCACCTACTGTCAATTAAGAAAGTGGATCTGAGCTTCTTCAAATATCTTCCAATTCCCTTACCTAAAAGATAAGGATCCACCTCATTCCAGTCAAAGGAGGTCAGGGGAGCACAGAAATCAGAGTTCTTATTATTGTTTAGCAAACATTCCAGCCGGGTCTCTGTTTCACCAACCTAAAGGAACAGAAAACATTCAAAGATCAGCTTGTCTTACAATCACAAGAGATCTGCAAAGTCCTGCTTAGACAACTTCATAGTAAATACGAGATGTGAGATAAAATATTTTTATCACAAAAAAAATAGAATCCTGAGGAACTGAATGCTCTTTTCCAAGCCTTTCTGTTCAACTCCACAGGACAAGTTTCCAACTCTGCATCGTTCTGGAGGCAACCTTCTCACCTTGCCTCCTCCTCCCCCGCCTCTGAATCCCTGCACTTCACCTAGGCGGGCACCCCTCTCCAGCAGCAGAGGTGCCACTCACTACTGGCTCAGCTGAGACAGAGCTAAGACCCCTCACACACTTTGTTAGAATCAATGGCCTTGCAATCTGTGTAACTTACTCCAAAACATCAATGGGGTATTAGGGATCTCAAGTGTCCCCAAATCCACTCAAAGTTATCACTGTTATAACAGGTGAACTGACTTCTAGGGCTGACAAGCCAGCAGCAGCATTTCATGGAATTCTACATTTACTAGAAAATCTGCTGCAGCCAAGCCTTGTTGCGAGGTGCTTCATTTGTTCTTCCATGCTGCAGTGACAGCTGCCACCTGTGACCCACCAGCTCCCTGTGACTCCACACTGCTGACAGCTGACACGGTGGCAGCCCATTTGTCCAGCCGCTCACCAGGTATCTGCTTACCCTCCACACGCGGAGATAGTCACCGCTTGTTGCCAGCAGATCTGGATAGACGCCTTTTGTGTCCGGGATCCACATGAGCTTTGTGGTAGGGTATGGGTGGTCAAAGGTGTTTCGGCAAATGAATTCGGAACTCTCCTCATCTAAACCAACAAGCTGAACCTGTAACACACCAATATTGGGCCATGTAAGCAACTGTTTCCTGGAGCATATCAAATACATCAGAACCCTGGTCAGGGATGGAAGCCTGAATGCTACACTATACTTAACTGTGGAGACAAAAACTCTTACTGTCTGAAGATTTCTAGTTTAACCATTCCGTTTCTACCCAGATTTGCTTTCATAAGGTCCATTTCCAAACATGAAACAGATTTGTTCATTTTTATTTGACAGGCAAATTTACAGAGCAAGTTGGGGTGAGGGAAGAAAGAGAGCGAGCTTCTATCTGCTGGTCACTCCTTAGATGGTCACAACAGCCAGAGCTGAACTGATCGGGAGCAGGAGCTTCTTCCAGGTCTCTCCCATTGGCGCAAGGGCCCGAGGGCCTGAGCCATCCTCCTCTGCTTTCTCAGGCCACAGCAAGGAACTGGAGTGAAAGTGGAGCAGCGGGGAATCGAACTGCCACGCATATGGGAAGCCAGAGCTGCAGTCAGAAGAGAACATTTGAAACACAAAGGCCATCTAGAGTGTCAAGTTTATCCTTGTGATTGTTCTGCTTGTCATGGTTACTTCAGAGTCACCTTAGTCCCTCAGCTGGAATGGAGAGTCAAAAATAGACAAAAAGGAATGACAGGACTACATGGCTGTTGCTGGGAGCAACAGGGAGTGGACCCATTCAACTAGGACCAATACGAATGTTTGATGGATTAAAGAACCTATTAACGTAAGGCCAGGTTGTGGTCCAGTGGGTTAAGCCAACATCCCACACAACCACTGGCTCAAGTCTCAGCTGTCCCACTTCTGATCCAGCTTCCTACTAATGTGCAGGAAAACAGTAGAAAATCATCCAAATGCATGGGTCTGTGCCACCCACATAGGAGAACCAAATGGAGTTCCAGACTGCTGGTTTCACCCTGGCCTGGCCCTAGCCACTGCAGACATGTAGAAAACGAACCAACATATGGAAGATCGATCTCTCCCTCTCTCTCTCCCCCTTCTTCCTTCTAACTCCGTCTTTCAAATAAATAAATCTCTTTTTAAAAATGCAAAATAAGGGCCCAGTGCGATAGCCTGATGGTTAAATCCTTGCCTTGCATCCTCTGGGATCTCATAGGGGTGCTGGTTCACTTCCCATCCAGCTCCCTACTTGTGGCCTGGGAAAGTAGTGGAGCATGGCCCAAAGCCCTGGGACTCTGAACCCACACAGTAGACCTGAAGAAGCTCCTGGCTCTTGGCTTCAGATTGTCTCAGCTCCAGCGGTTGCAGCCCATTTGGGGAGTAAACTAGTGGACTAAAGATCTTTCTTTCTATTTCTCCTTTTCTCTGTAAATCTGTCTTTCCAATAAAATAAATAAATAAAAATACATTAACAATAAAAGCAGCTGTGACAAAGTGGGAGAACTGGGCAGAGGTCCCAGGAAGTGAATCAAGAAGAATTCCTCCGTGGTCCTTTAGTAACAGATCTCCTGCATCCCCACGTGTGGGCAGTCAGTCAAACTCCCCTTCCCTCCCCGAAAAGCGTAAGAGGGAAGCAAGCATCACTTCCAAGGACATCCAGGAAGAGCAGCTTTGGAGCATCTTCAGGAGGTAAAGGGCAGAAGGCACATTCTCTCTACCTCGGCCTTCAGCTGCAAGGCCTAAGAAACAACATCCTAGTAATGAACTCACTTCCGCAGCACTGTCTAACCCACTGCGGACACTCAGTAGCAGGTGCTCGCAGTTTTTCTCAAGTGCAACCAAAGTACCTGCAAGAAGACAGTGAAACCACTCAAAAGCAGAAAGGTGGGTCTGTCACTCAAGAGAACAGATAGTACTGACTCTTTTTTTGGCAGACAGGGAAGTTTATTCGTGAAGGAGCCAGGTGGACAGGGAAAGAAGGGGAAAGAATCTCCCAAGAGAAAGCCAGGAGGTGGGGTGCCCCTTAAAAGGAGAGATGGGGAGACACCAGAGGTTTGAGGAAGGGTCTTGGGTTTTTTGTTTGGTTGATTTTTGTTTTTTAAGATTTACTTTATCATTTATTGGAAAGTCAGATACACAGAAAGGAAGATCTATCCGCTGATTCGTTCCCAAGTGGCCGCAATGGCCGGAGCTGAGCCAATCCAAAACCAGGAGCCTCTTCCGGGTCCCCTACGTAGGTGCAGGGTCCCAAGGCCCTGGGCCATCTCTACTGCTTTCCCAGGCCACAAGCGAGCTGGATGGGAAGTGGAACTACCGGGATAAGAACCAGCACCCATATGGGATCCTGGCACGTGCAAGGTGAGGACTTTAGTTTTAGTCTGCCACACAGACCCTGGTCTTGGGTTTTTAAGCCCTCCCTGACCTCTCCTTTTTGGGCAGGAACCTACAGGTAAAAAGTTCTCCACTGGTGGTCTCTTTACCAGTTAGGAATGGGTGGGGAATGCTTGTGCCACCTACTTAAAGGTGCGGACAAGATTTCAGCAGGCTTGGATGGTCTCAGACCACTCTCTTAGAATCCCATATCCTACTTCTGCAGGGGTAAAAGGTGAAGATATCTCCTAGCTACTTCCTGCTGAAATGGGGTGTGGTTCAGGTAAAGCCCCCGCCCCCCACCCCAGGCATGGGAAGCACAAGGTGATGGTCTGGGCCATCCAAGTTACTATGACAGAAGTTACTCATTATACAAGGTTGCAACTTCTGAGCCATCTGGAGCTGAAGACTCCATGTGAAGTCTTCTCTCAATCTTTTCATGACCCACAGTGGGCACCACGCAAAAGTTTGGTAGGTTTGTTCCTCCATTTGATACAGAAATAAAAAGCTGGGAAACAGTTGCAGACTTTTTTTGTTTTTAAGATTTATTTATTTTTATTGGAAAGGCAGATATATAGAGAGAAGAAGAGACAAAGACAAAAGATCTTCCATCCGCTGGTTCACTCCCCCAGCAACTGCAAAGGCCGGAGCTGAGCCAATCTGAAGCCAGGAGCCAGGAGTGTGTTCTGGGTCTCCCCTGTGGGTGCAGGGTCCCAAGGCTTTGGGCCATCCTCCACTACTTTCCCAGGCCACAAGCACGGAGCTGGATGGGAAGTGGGGCTGCCAGGACTAAAATAGGATCCCGGTGTGTGCAAGGCGAGGAGTTCAGGCACTAAGCTACCGCGCCAGGCCCGATAAATAAATCTTAACACACACACACATACACACACACAATTGTGGGCCACTTCTGTGCTGCCTGAAATACTGGTATCCCATATGGGTGGTGGTTCAAGCCTCGGCTGCTCCACTTAAGATTTTACTTCCCGCTAATGTTAACAGGAAAGCAGCAGATACCAGCCCAAGTACTTGAGTGCCTACACCCATGTGAGAGATCTGGAGAGAGCTCTTGGCTCCCAGCTTTGGCCTGGTGCAGCCCCAGCCACTGCAGCCATTTGGGGACTGAACTGGCAAATAAAATACATTAAAAATTTTTTTTCCCGTAATATAAAAGTGTATCCAAGGTTGAGAACTAGTAAAATCAAGCTAGTTTTTGTGTATTTAAGTGTAAAATTAAATGCATCTTGGGAGTTAAGAAAAGCACTATTCAAAGCAAACACAGTAGCTCTGAATAGTGCTCGCAGTACCCTGTGATAATGCAGGGTTGTTCAAGTCCATCACAGCTTGTCCTTCTACACCCAAATCAAAGTAAAGGTCTTCAGGAGGGGATGTCTCAGGCTCAGCTACGTGTCAAGGTGTCAAGTAAATAACATGTCATGCACTATTACAGAAGAACACAAACTTTGCCTACGATGTATACGTACTTCATAATATTCCTAACATGAAGCTTCTTTTTTAAAAAAAGATTTATTTGTTTTTTATTGGAAAGGCAGGTTTATAGACTGAAGACACACAGAGAAAGATATTCTGTCTGCTGATTACTCCCCAAGTGGTTGTGATGGCCAGAGCTGAGCCGATCTGAAGCCAGGAGTCAGGAGCTTCTTCTGGGTCTCCTGTGTTGGTACAGAGCAGGAAGCTGGATGGGAAGCAGAGCAGCAGGACACAAACTGGCACTCATATGGGATCCTGGTGCTTGCAAGATAAGGATTTAGCCTCTAGGCCACTGTGCTGGGCCCGTAACCTGAAATTTCTTTCCAAAAAGGTTTCTGTTTTCATCAACACTTCAAAGCTGTACCACTTACGCAACAGTCTTGCTCCACCTGAAAATGTGTTATGCAACCTAGTTTCGCTCCATGAAGACTTCAAATGTGCACAAACTTGTGCTTTATCCTCAGCCAAACTGGCTTCAGCTCTTCTGCTTTGAGCTGCCAATCAAATACTGAAAGGCGTGACAACTAGCTCTTGTTTTTATTTTTTCAGATACTCATATATCTGTGAGTATCCAGATAACATAAAATAGTAAACCTTATCTACTGACCCTAGTGAATTCCAACAAAATGCAACATGAATAACCACTGCTTGATGTGTCTAAACATCCCATGTGCATCTACATGTGAGTGCACGCTTGTGCACGTATGGATAGGGAGTGGGTGTTTTTGTAAGGATATTTAGGCTTGGGCTATAAAATTTATTCTGCAATTTACTTGTAACACTGTATTTTGTAAAAGCGTGCACACAGATCTTCCTCATTCTTCTATAGCAGATTAAAGTAAGCACACCATCATCTATTTAACTATTAATAGTTATTTTGGTTAGATGCCATGGATTTGCTACTATAAACATTGCTACAATGACTGTCTTATTCATATGTGCAAATGGCTTTATTGGCTAGGTTCCTGAAGTGTATTTGTAATATCATTTATTAAGTTATCAGTCTTCAAGGAAGTTGTTTCTATCTCAGCTTTTTTTTTTTTTTAAGATTTATTTTTAATGGAAAGGCAGAATTACAGAGAGGAGAAACCGAGAAAGAACTTCCATCCACTGGTTAACTCTCCAAGTAGTTTTGGTAGCTGGAGCTGAGCCAATGTGAAGCCAGGAGCCAGGAGCTTCTTCCGGGTCTCCCAGGCAGGTGCAGGCACCCAAGGCTCTGGGCAATCTTTTACTGGTTTCCCAGGCCA